CTACGACTACTACTACGACCAGGACTACTACTATTAGTGCTACCACTACTACTACTACTACTACTACTACTACTACTACCACTACTACTACTACTACTACTACTACTACTACTACTACTATTGCTGCTACTACTACTACTACTACTACTGCGACTGCTACTACGACTACTACTACTACGACTACTATTACTACTACTACTACTACTACTACTACTACTACTACTACTACTACGACTACGAGCACGACTACGACCGCCACTACTACAACTACTTTTACTACTACTACTACGACTACTACTTCTACTACTACTACTACTACTACTACTACTACGACGACTATTACTACTACTACGACTACTCCTGGTGCGATTAGTATTATCATGCCTACGATTTTTACGATTACTTCTACGACAATTTCTTGTACAACTATTTCTGCTATTAGATTTATTCCTACGATTACTGTTGTTATGGCTACTAACACGGGTACGAATAATGACAATTGTGCAGTTACGACGATGACTACTACGATGCTGGTTACTACCATGATCAGTAATAATTCTAGTTGTACGATTACCACCACCACGACTACGATAACCCGCGAATCTGACAATTGATACTACCACCACTACGACGACCATTATTACTAGTACTATTACTACTAGTATGCCGACGACGACCTCTACGTTTACTAATACTACCACTACTAACACGATTACTAATATTACTACTAATAGTATTGCTACTACGACTACTACTACTACTACTACTACTACTACTACTACTACTACTACTGCGACCACTACTACTACTACTACTACTACTACTACTACCACTACTACTACGACTACTACGACTACTACTACTACTACTATTACTTCTACTACTACAACTACTACTACGACTACTACTACTATTACTACTACTACTGCTTCTTCTAAGACTAGAAGTACTACTTCTAACACTACTACTTCTAATAGTACTCCTACGTCTACTACCAGAAGTACTTCTATTTTTTTCCTGCTACTAATTCTAATACTATAAGGAGTAGAAGTGCTACTACTACCACTACTACTATTACTACCACTACTACGACTACTTCAAGTAGTATTACGAATAGTACGGTTATTACTACTACGACAAAGATTAAGATTTTTACGGCTACTCCTGCTACTACTACTACTCTTACTACTACTACTACGAGTACTACTCTACGACTACCTCTTCTACGATGACTGTTACTACTGAGACTACTACGACGATTAGTACTCCTACTATTACGACTACTACTACTACTGCTACTACTACTACAACTACTACTACTACTACTAATACTACTATTACCGCTACTACTACTAGTACTACTACTACTACTACTACTACTACTACTGGCACTACGACTACTACTACTATTACTACCACTACTACTACGTCTACTATTATCACGACCACTACTACTACTACTACTACTACTACTACTACTACTACTACTACGACTACTACTACTACTACTACTACTACTACTACTACTACTACTACGACTACTGCGGCTAATACTACGACTACTACTGTTATTAGTTACACGATTCCTATTGCGATTGTGACAACGGATATTTTTTAATACCAGTACAACAAGAACCGGTATGATGACTACTACGATTGCTACCACTACTACGACTACGACTGCCATTACTACTACTACTACTACTACTACTACAACTACTACTACTACTACTACTACGACTACTACTACTACTACGACGACCACTACGACTACTATTATCATTGCTTCTACTACGACTACTAGTACGGCGTTGGTTGTAATTTTTGTGGCTGCGACTACCACGGGTACCCCGACTACCACGATGATTAGTACGACTACCACTAATACTAGCCAGTACCACTACCACTACTGCCAACACTAGTACTACTACTACTACTACTGGTGCTACTACGACTACCACTACTACTACTACTATTACTACTACTACTACTACTGCTACTACTACTACTACTACTACTACTACCACTACCACTACTACTACCACGACTACTACTGCTACTGCTACGTATACTACTACTACTACGAGTACGACTGCTATTCCTACTACTACGATTACTACTACTACTACTACTACTACGACTACTACTACTACTACTACTACTACTACTACTACTACGCCTGCTACTACTACGACTGTTATAACTACAACTACTATTACTACTGCCCTTGCGACTACGAGTACAGCTGCGCCTACTTTCACTACTGCTACTATCACGATGATTCCGAATATCACAACCATTATTATGTCAACAACTGCTACGATTACCATTACGACTACTACTACTCCAAGTACTACTACTATTACTACTACTACCACTACTACTACTACTACTACGATTAGGACTACTACTTCGACTACTACTACTACTACTACTACTACTACTACTACTACGACTACTACTACTACTACTACTACTACTACTACGCCCACTACTATTTCAACGATCGCAACTACGATTACGACTATTCCTACTACTACTACTACTACTACTACTACTACTACGACTACGACTACTACTGCTACTGCTACTGCTACGACTACTGATATTACTATTTCTATTACGGCTACTACTACTGATACGATTACTATTACTACTACGACTACGTGTACTACTAGTACTACTACTACGACTACGATTTCTACCACGACTACTACTACTACTACCACTACTATCACCACGACTGTCACTACTACCATTACTACTACTACTACTACTACTACTACTACTACTACTACAACTACTACGACTACTACGATTACAATTATTACTACTATTTCTAGTACTACGACTACTCCAACCACTTTTTCTAGTACTACTACGACTACTACTACTACTACGACGACGACTATTATTTCTCTTACTACTACTACTACTACTACTACTACTACTACGGGTACTACTACTACTACTACTACTACTACTACTACTACTACTACTACTACTACTAGTACTACTACTACTACTACGACTAGCACCACTACTACTACTGCGATTACTTGTACGACTACTAATCTCATGTTTACACTCCTATTTACTACTGCTACTACTACTATGACTACTACTACTACTCCTACTACTACTACTACTACTACTACCACTTGTTCTATTACTACAACTACTACTTCTAGCACTACTACTGCTACTACGACTACTACTACTACTACTACTACTACTACTACTACTACTACTACTTCTTCTACTACTACGGCTACGATTACTACTTCTACTGATATTACAACACTAGTACTACTACTACTACTACTACTACTACTACTACTACTACTACTACTACTACTACTACTACTACTACTACTACTACTACTACTACTACTACTACTACTACGACTACTACTACTACTACTACTACTACTACTACTACTACTACTACTACTACTACTACTACTACTACTACTACTACTACTACTACTACTGCTACTACTACTACTACGATTACTACTATTATACGACTACTGCTACGACTATTATTGCTTCCACCACCACTTCCACTGCCGCTACCATTGCCCCTGGCATGACACCTGTCCCACTGCCAATACCTTTGTCCATCGCGCTGCTGCGGCCGTTGTCACCACCACTCACACTCACGGTGATGGCATTGCGATCTCCACTACTCCGCCTCCACGCCGTTTGTGTTTACCGCCTAGATGGGCTGGAGGCGGGAGAATGGAGATGAAAGGCATCCGAAGGGGCGAGGGAAGAGGGCGAGAGAAATGAGGAGGGAAGAGAGGGGCAGGGGGTTAGTGGAGAGGAGAGAGAGGTAGCTTCGCAAGCTCCCGAGCTAGACGACTTCGCGACGGCGAGGTTGTGACCCAAGAGGGTGTGGTCACTGAGGCCTGAGGTATGGACAGAGACGCGCAGCCATTGACTGGCTGGCAGGATCCAGCATGTGCATTCTGGCTCACAGTAGCACTGTGCGTGGATGACAGGCCTTCCAGGTCGGAGGCATCGGAGCCGAAAAAACGAGCGCTGGTAATGACAGCGCGGTTCGTAATTACTTGGGGGTGAATGTAAGCTACAGTCGGGGCGCTGACGAAGGAACCCTTTTCGTTTGGGAGGGGCTCAGTGTTCCTTAGTTGTTTTGCAGCTCGCCTTAGGTTTTCCTTAGGTCTTCGATGGGAAGTCGAAGTTGAACTTATGGAAAAAAGGGGCCTCGTTCCTTATTTAGGGTTCCGTAGGTCAACGCCACGACTGTATCGAGGCACTGTGTGGGTCACTCGCTGACAAGCGGGGTCGGCTGCAAGACAAGGTATACTGGCAGCGCACAGGCTAGAGCCCAGACATGGCGTCAACCCAGCGGGGAGCATGACCGAAAGAGTACGACGTGGCTTGATGGGGAGGTATCCTGCTCGTCTGTGGCCGAAGAGGAGAAGGGCTCGGTGCACGAGAAGGGCGTCTCCCCACTTGCCCGGCTCGCATCTTTGGCTCAGTAATGTTCGGCATGACATGATTTTGCACAACATTCCAGGCCTCCCCGATGGGGTCAGAGTAGATGGAGTCGGAAGATGCGGCTCGATGTGGATCCCGATGTTTCAACACCGACGTCGCTGATGCATCGCCGACGTCGCCGGTGCATCGGCGGTGCGGTGCAATCCTCCGACCCCACCTGCTCGGACCCAGCCGGGAGGCCTCTGAACTTGCGTGCGGGCTCTCTTATTCTGTGTGGGCTCGCGTTCTGGCCGTTGCCTGTGCAGGTCTTCGGTTTCCGCGCCGATCGGGCAGGAGGAGGAGGAGTAGGAGGAGGAGGAGGAGGAAGAGGAGGAGGAGGAGGAAGAGGAGCAGGAGGAGGAGGAGGATCAAGGATCAAGGATCGAGGAGGAGGATCGAGGATCAACAAGGATCGAGGAGGAGGTAGAGGAGGGAGGGCCACAGATGGCGTGGGGGCAGCGGCAGCGCCGTCTTCGCGCGGCCCGCATCCCCAGGCTGCCAGCACTGCAAAGGCAACTGGCGCATGGGCCACCGCGAGATCTGCGCAGGCTGCCAAGAACGTGTCCAAGCCTCAGCGTCCGATCTGATTCAGGAGGGGAAGAAACACACAGACACAATTAATCGTCGATTCCCAGAACATATGTGAAAATATGGGAAGTGGGGGGGAAGACAAAAACCCAGAAAACATTGGAAAATATGGGGAATCATTTTATTTGTGTGTATTTATGTGTGTGTTCTTGAGCCCCTTGAACAGGCTGCCAAGAACGTGTCCAGCCCTCAGCGTCCGATCTGATTCCCCGGCGTGCTGCTGCTGCGGGCGACGGAAGGGCATCAGCGCGGCTGGCCACCAGCTGAACGAGTCGGTCGTGTTTGCCGGCGCGTGTCCGCCGCGCCGAGCCCTTGAGGTCCCCATATCTGTCAGTGGGCGCACACTGGCGGAGGCTTCGGGGCGAATCCAGCCGTGTCTGTGACGGAGCGCTCCCAGAGCTGCAAGCAGACTGGAAGCAACAGAATCCAGATCTCCAGTCCTTGCCCCACTCTCCCCACACGACAGATCGGGGCTCGACTTGAAGACACCACAGATTCGAGTTCCATCGATCTGCAACGCGCAGGGGAGCAGGCGAGCGGCCTCCGAGCACGACTCGAGCAGGCGAGGCCATGGATCAAGGCGCGCGGACTGGCGACGGCTTCCGCTTCCGTACGAGAGGGGCGCGCTCCGTCGCCAGGTGAGACGCCCTGTTTCGGGGGTGCTTGCCCCGATCCTTTGATCCCTCTGCGCGCTTCACGAAGCACGTTCGGAATGTGTGCTTGGCACCGCTCGGACGTGTGCATTTTTCCTTCGGCGAGGACCATCGAGGAGTATCCTCGATCAGTTGGCGGAAAAACCACGCACGAAACCGAAAAAAACGCAGGGAATGGACGTCCGAGCGATGGCGAGTGTGTAGAGTATGTGCGTTCGTGGCCTCTTGGGGGCCTTTTGGAAGCCTCGTGGGAGCGTCTTGGGGCTGCCTGGGGGCTTGGTGGGGCGTGTCGGGGCTTGTTGCGGCGTCTTGGGCCGTCTTCGGGCGCTCTTGCGCCATCTGCCGCCTTGGGAGGCCGTCTTTGGGGCCGCTCTGGGATGTCTTGATGTCCTCGTATGGGCATCCACAGGCCGTCTTGGCGGTCTTCTGGGCCGTCTTGGGGCCCACTTGGGCAGTATTGGGCCTGTCTTGGTTGCCTCTTGGGCCACCTTGGGGTTCTCTTGGGCCGTCCTGGGGCCGTTTGGGTGGCTTCTTGGGCCGCCTTGGGGCCATCTCGGGGGCCTCTGAGGCGGCCTTGGGGTGTCGGAAGCCCGGAGAGGCGAGCACTCTAAAATACTCGACGCGAAGATCCCCATTTGTGCATCTCTTTTCTCGGCACGTTCCGCTGTGAGTGTTTGGTTGTGAGCGTCTGGGTGTGAGAACGAGTCCAAGTAAACGACGGGTACGACGACGCCAACGACGACGACGACGGCGGCTACGATAAGGGACCGCGACGACTTGGAGAGGTAGGTCTCAACAAAAAAACGTGATAGACTATGACGATTTGAGCATCACGTAAACAGCATCCTTGAACAGAGCATAGTCGAACACAACCTGGCAGAGCATAGCATGTCACAACATGGCGCCACAGGGCAAACATAACATACCATTTCAGAACATACTTTGGCAGAGGGGGCATAGCATAGCACAATAGAAAAGGATATACCAACACACGGCAAGAAACATCATAGCATGATGTTCTTCATTATGCTATAATCAAACGCGACGTGCGCACCGAGGTCAGGCTTGCCGCCGGAACCAACAGGCGCAACAACGACCGATTGGGCGACGTATCTATCGTGACAGGCGTCACGATGTAACGCCCGGACCGTTCAGAGTAGAACATAACAGAACATAATGTCATGTCCTACATCGGGGGCAGAATCCAAGCGACCAGATTGGAGCCTCCTCCTCCTACTCCTCCTCCTCTTTCAACAGGTTACAGATGCTCTCCGAACAAGTTTGGGGGTCTCGCTCACGCCACGCGTTTTGGGGGGTCGGTCTTTCGTCCCAGGGTTCGTTCCGCTTTTGTTCGTGAGGGGCTCTCCTCAGACGACAACCTGGTGCTGTTAGAATTTTAGGACAACGGAAACTTGCGACCTGGCGTACCCCTCACAAGTTCCGTGGCCCCATAGGAGCTTCACCGAAACCGGTACCCACAATGCAGCACTCGCAACTGCACGTGGTTGGGTCCTTCGTCAGGCTAATTTTCGTGAGGGGCTGTCCTCAGACGACAGCCTGGGGCTGCTAGAATGTTAGGACAACGGCAGCTTGCGACCCGGCCCGGCCGCCGCACTGGGCCCCGGCGCGCATCGGTGCAGCAGGTGCGCGCAGCGTCGGGAACGAACGCCAACTGTTCCGGCGGGGATCGCTCGGAGCAAGACAGTGGCTTACCCCCCAGAATGGGCCCACCATCTTTGGTCGATGCATGTGGCGTGGCTACGGTGGGGAGGTTAGGGGGATACACAAGAATTTGTATATCATATACATATATAGATATAGATGTGCAAATACATATATATATATATATATATATATATATGCATACATACATATGTATATATACACACATATATATATATGCTCACATGACATTGTGGTACGGCATTGGTTGCATGGTTGGAGACACGGGACATGTTGCATTAGGGCCTTCGCGACCTGCCTCTGGCAGACGTGATTTCCTCTCGCTGCGCGGTGTGCACCTCTGGAGTGTGTAGGATTCGGGCCCTCGTGGGGGCGCTGTTGGACCGTCTGGCGCCTGTGCGGGCCATCTTCGGGGCCTCTCTGGGTCGCCTTGGGGGTCTCTGGGGCCGTCTTGAAGCTTATTTCAGGCCAGCCACAACTGGGGGAGATGTGGTCCCTACCCCCCTGGGGGACCCATCGATTTCGACACCCCTCTCGAGAGATCGTCGATGCGATGGGCTCCCCCAGGGGGGTAAAGACCACAGCTCCCCCAGTTATGGCTGGTCGGCAGTTGGGCCGTCTCGGGGCTTTGGGGAGGCCCGCCGAAATAACCACTACGCAAACGATGCAGGAGGATGCTCGTCAGGCTGAGCCGACGAAACTGCGCGAGCAAGGGCACGGCAATAGGAGGAGGAGGAGGAGGAGGAGGAGGAGTATCAGTTTGGGCAAAGGATGGACACCGAGTTCCGTTCATCGAAGGAAGTGCGTTATCCAGTCTGGGCGTGCTGAGCCCCGCGCAGAAACCAAGTCGCTACTTAACAAGAACAGAGTACATGGGACGAGATGTTTCTGAAAAGTTGAAGAAGTTAGGTTTGGCCCAGATAGGCTTAGCTCAGCCACTGCGTGAAACAACAAGGCTGCGTTTGGCCACCTCCAGACAAGCCGAGCACGGTGGTAAGGACGGACATGTGAATACCAGTCTTGTTGGTTAGATTACGTGTGCCATGAAGTGGCGTGTCGCCACGATGTCTCGCGTCGCGCGGGCCCAGCCTTCGTGTCAGCTTGGTGGCCGTCCCGGATTGGGCTGCGCTGGAAAGTTGCACGGTCAACCCGCACAGTAAGGGTGATCGACGCCCGAAGAGCACCCTTTGTATCCTTAGCCCCTTCGGTCACCTCCGGTCCATCCTCAACCACTTTCGATGGCCAGCCCCGCTCGAAGAGCCTCGGCATGGGCGTCCCAGGCCCCTGCATCATTACCGCGCCTCCTCGCTGCACGGGCTGACTGCAGAGACTGCCAGGCCCGAGCACGTGCCGACGGAGATGCCCGACGACAGGTTCCCCGGGCCCGACTCCGCCGCCACCGACAGGAGCTGGCCCAGCGGGCAGCAGCCCAAGCGGCTCGCCCCGCCCTCGGCAGCGGGGTGGGCTGCGGCGATCGGCCCCGGGCTGACGCCGCAGGAGGCCGAGACCTGGTGTTGCGTCGGACAGGTCCCTCCACAGGAGGTGCATTCAAGAATGGGAAAACATATTCTGGTGACGATTGTTGGTGCTCCTTTGACTATATTTGGTTATTCCTGACTATGTCTGAACTGTTCTTCCAAAATCCGCCTGGAGGAGAACAGGCCCGACCTAAACCTGGTGGTCCACAGCTATGGGGGCGGAGAGAGGCAAGGAGAGAGAGAGAGAGATAGAAAGAGAGAGATACAAAACTCCGTCGGTGAACCCGGAAGAGCATGCATTTAGTTGGAATGTTAATGATATGGTGTGTGTGCCAGAATACGAGTGAGTCTGAGTACACTTGATTATGTGCAAATGGAAAATCTAGTGGGAAAAAAATCCACCCGTGAGTCTTATGAGTACAAGTGAGTACGGGTATGATTCAGTCTGGGCAAAAGGAAGTATGAGTGTGAACGCGTGCGAGCGAGTGAGTCTGAGTGCGAATGAGTCTGTGTATGAGCCCTTCTTAGCATGAATAAGGCTGAGCGTGAGTGAACTGGAGTGCGCGTTAGTCTGAGTATAGGTGAGTCTGAATACCAGTGAGGCTCAGTATGGGTAAATCCGAGTGGGAACAACTCTACGTATGAGTGTGTCTGAGCTTGAGTGGGTCTGGGTACGAGTGAGTCTGGGTGAGAGGGAGCCTGCTTGGGATGGTGAATGAGCGAGTAAGTGTGAGCGAGAGTGAGTTTGTGCATGAGCGCGTCTGGGCGTGAGTGAGTCTGAGCGTGAGCGAATCGGAGTGCAAGGGAGTCTAGGTATGAGTGAGTCTGCGTGGTTTCAAGGTTTCGAAAGGCCTCGTTCGGATGCGACCATAGAGATGTGGGCCCCATAAGGCGAGGGCGCCCGCTCGAGATCCCCTCGCGGTCCACTCACAGACGAGGCTCCCGCTCGAGACTTCCTCAAGGCTCAAGCCTCACAGGCCCAACAGTGACGACAACCAGAGGTTCTGGATGACCCCTTCGGATTAGAAACATGATCTCCGGGCCCCATAAGTAAAGGGTTTCCATTCGAGACTTCCTCGCAGCTCACTCACAAACGAGGCTTCCGCTCGAGATGCCCTCCAGATTCAAGCTTGAGGAGCCCAAAAGCGACGACAATTACAGGTTCTGGATGACCCCCTCGGATTAGTAACAGTATCTCTGGGTCCCATAAGGGGAAGCCCGCTCGAGACTTCCTCGCAGCTCACTCACAGAACAGGCTCTTGCTTGAGACTGCCTCAACACTCAAACCTCACAAGCCCACAAGTGACGACCGTTACAGGTTCTGGATGACTCCGTCGGATCAATAGCATGACTCGCTGGCCCCAGAAGGAGAGGGCTCCCGCCCCAGACTTCCTCGAGACTCACTCACGGACGCGGCTCCCGCTCGAGACCTCCTCAACATTCAGGCTTCGAAAGCTAAGAAGTGACGACAGGTAGACGTTCTGGATGATCCCCCGGGATTAGTAGCATGATCTGCGGGCCCCATAAGGAGAGGGCTCCCGCTCGAGACTTCCTCGCGGTGCCCTCACAGACGAGAACCCCAATCGAGACTTCCTCAAGATGAGTGTGCGTGCGCGTGTGAATGAGTGTGTTTGGTGGGTGTACGAGTGAGGTGGTAACTGATACTGTTGATGATGACGATGTTGGCGATGGTAATGGGGACGGTGGTAATGATCATGGCGTGATGATGGTGATGATTGAGTGTGCGGGGGGGGGTGCGTGAGTGAGTGACTGACCGTTAATGGCGATGGCATTAATGATGATGTGGGCGTGCGAGTCAGAGAGGAGAGTGCGTGTGAAGTTCCTGTGCGGGGGGTGTCCAGACAAAACAAGAACCCCACCTTGGATGCGGGGGGGAAGAAAGCAAAATGAGGCCCACATCTCTTCGCAACTCCCTGTGGGTCCAAAACCATGCCAATCCGATGTTTGGATGTACTGCAGGTCGGAGTCTCGGTGGTGCACGGCTCACTTGGCGTGCGGTGTTGAAGGGCCTCGTGAGGGTTGGAAGACCAAGGTTTCAACGCCACACGGATCAGCGCATCAAATATTGTTTGAGTTATCCGTTCTCATGGTTCGGCTCTGGGCCTGATTGGTGCAATCCGGTGGCGCAGTCGTTGCAGCAGTTGCAGGGGTGAACGGTTTTGGGTTGAAAACATGCGATTACCAGTTCAGCCTGACAGGAACGCCAACAGAAAACCTAGACATCCAGCGGTTGCCTTTCTCATCTGTAGGTGAAGGCGAACTTGGGACCCAATCCCAACCCCTGTGGGCCTCCCCTGACGGAGTCTGGGCCACTGAAGAGGGTTGTCGGAGACATTTCATTCGGAGTTCGTCGTCTTCGGTGTTCCTAGAGTCTCTGGAAGGACGGTCGGAAGAGGACAAGTCCAAGGCACTTCGCTGTTGAGGTGGCGCAACGAAGAAGGCACAGTCAAAACGCATGATAAGGATGACTCACCTCTCAGTTTCGCCTCTCGGCCCATCGCAGGCCTTGGCCATCGGCCATGGATCTTCAACATCGGCTCCAGTTCGGGCGTCCAAGGGCCTTGCGTCCCCACCACGCATCCTCATGATCAAATCGCTTGCCACACGGAACATGGACCACCACAAGTTCCCAGAGAGCGAGAGGGGAGAGAAACGGGGCAGGAGGTGCAGGAAGGACGGCGATGAGTACAGTCGGGGCGCTGAAGAAGGAACCCTTTTCGTTGGGGAGGGGCTCGGTGTTCCTTGATTGTCTTACAGTTTGCCTTGGGTTTTCCTGGGGTCTTCTATGGGGAATCGAAGTTTAACTTATGGGAAAAAGAGGCCTCGTTCCTTATTTAGGGTTCCTTAGGTCAGCGCCCCGACTGTAGAGGGCACCCAACATTGAGTTGACCGACGGCATGGCACGGCACACGGCACGACACCTTGCATCGCGCACCGCACAGCACGCGGCACGGGGCACGGCGCGGCACGCGGCCCTGCATGCGCCACAGGCTGTTTGGAGTGTGTGGTGTTGGTTGCGCGTGATGTTACGCCACGGGGTGTGTTATACAGTCGGGGCGCTGAAGAAGGAACCCTTCTCGATGGGGAGGGGCTCGGTGTTCCTTGAGTGTTTCGCAGCTTGCCTCAGGTTTTCCTTACGTTTCCGATGGGAAATCGAAGTTTAACTTGTGTGAAAAAGGGGCCCCGTTCCTGATTTGGGGTTCCTTAGGTCAACGCCCCGACTGTATAGGTTGCCTGCGTCTCACCCGACCATATGGGTCGGTGTGTTTCGTCCAGACTGCGGCGCGTCAGGGCTGCGCCACAGTTTGTGCCATCAGCGGTTGCACCAGTCGGGGGCTGCTAAAGGTGTCCTTGGGTTGCGGCAGTCCTAGCTTATCGTTGCATGTTTGAGCCCTTGGGGCCCTCTGGACCTCGCGAGGGATACTCTGGAGGTCGTGGGGCCTCCAGGGGGATCCTGAGGATTCCGTGTGCCATGAACACTTCTGATAACAACCGAAACACAGGTCGCGCAGGGCACGTTCCATTGTATCACGGTTTGGTCCGTTCTGGCCAGGTTGCGCCAGATATCGTGCCCGACCGGATCACGATTCGGTATAGTTTACTTTGGATGAATTGTGCCCGAGATGGTTGCGCCATCGGTCGTGCGCATCACGCCCCACTGAATTACGGTATGGCCCGTTCTGCGTGGATTGCTTCATCCGTTGCGCACAACACGTTTGTCGTTATCACGGATTGGGCCGCCGTGCTTTGTCAATTAAGAACTCCAGAACTATTACAGCATTCGTCGTGTAGGAGATCATCTTGTAATTTGCCAACACCCATGCATATGGCATCGCATATGAACGGTGACGGGCATACGAGCAAATATACACCCACAGCGACACACGTCATGTCCGCGTAGACCAGGCGTCCCCCAGCGGTTCCACGCTTCTGCATCGAGGCCAAGTGTCACCCAATTGGTGAGCTCCGTGGGCGATCGGCAGGCGCGACACATCGCTCAGTGGCAGTGGCATCTCTAATGTGTTCGCGAAGGGTGGTGCTGCATGGCTTGCCGATGCGCGCGACAGGTTTCATGGCGCTTGTCGTGCCCGCGCGCTTCTCGAGTTCAAGCGTCCCTATACGTGTCCAATGCGCCCCCGCTTCGCCCTCGACCGACCTGAGGCCGCCTGGCCACAGACCTGGGACGGCAACGGCACGAGAAAGCTGGAGCGCTGTTGGAAGGTTACGGTGTTGCAGGACGAGCCGCCCGAAGAGGGACGGTGAAGGGAAGGCAGGCTCCAATGCAGTCGCGTGAGTCGTTTGGGGAGTTCGGATTTCTCCTCCCCCCCTTCCTCCCTCCGCCTGTCCTCCTCATCCCTCCTCCCTTCCTTCTCCCTCATCCCTCCTCATCCTCCTCCGCCTTCTCCTCCTTCTTATCCTCCTTCTCCCCCTCCTCCTCCTCCTTCTCCTCCTCCGAAACGGAGAGGGACTACTGGGCTTTCGGAGCGGGGAAGAGTGTTGAAGGTTGCGTTTGGGCCCAAGCGGCCCTGTCGGAGGTGGCGGATACCAGGGATCAGGTTGTCTTGGGAGTTCAGTGGGACGGGAAGAAGTACTACGAATTTTTCCAGCTAGAACTTCTACGTGATAGAGCGTACAGATGTGGCATCCCTAAGGTTATTGTAAAGACTATGTACAACCTGTGGAGGTGCCCCAGACTGGTTCGTCTAGGCCCAGCTTTTCACACAGTGGCCCTTTTTGCCTCCAGCGGTCTTCCTGCAGGTGATGTTTTCAACGATGCATTTGTGAAGGTGTATGCGCTTGAGGCCTTCGATGCTTTCATGATGAGACACCCGACGATTCGCCGATCCTCGTACATCGACGATGACACGATATTGGGGATGGGGGACAAAGCTAGCCTACTTCGAGCAGTGCCTGCAGCAGCAGCCGATTTTCATCAAATGATTCAGCAGGAGCTAAAATCAGATATCTCGGAGTCGAAGGCGGTTACGATAGCTAACTCGGTCGGTCTAGCGAAATCCCTGGCCCATCAACTTCGCATCCGAGGATTGCCCGAGGGGATGGTCACGTCGGCGTCGCTCAACCTCGGGGTAGACTTCGCTCCAGGACAGTCTCGGTCGGCTAAAGGGGGGCTTCGAAAACGACGGACTCGATTTCAACCATTCAAGCTTCGACATCAGCGAGTATTACGATTTCGAAGATGGTTGGCACATGGAAAGCATCGGATGTCTAAGATTCACACGGCAGGCTTGAAGCCAGCCTTGGCTTATGGCAGTGCGGTGCTGGGCATGAGTGATCACGAGCTCCGACGAGCTCGGGCTACGCTCCTCAGCTTCAAGGCGCCCTCGCATCGAGGAGCCTCGCTAGTGGCGAAGTGCGTGCTTCATGGTGACCCTGTTGCAGATGCCGCCGTGGCTCCTGCGGTGCAGTGGGCAGCCACGATCTGGCAGGCGGCGGTCGCGCAGAAGCGCTCTCTCTTCACTATGACGCAGCTCGCAGATATGTTTCAGCAGGTGCATGCCAATTGGGATCCTGAGATGTCTTGGAGAAAGACGAAGGGCCCGATCGTTCGAATGTTGATGTGCCTCCAGAGGGTCAACTGGGAGCCTAAGAACTTCACGGAGTGGATCGATGATCGAGGAGTTGAGCTCTCTCTGCTGTATACCTCCCCTTCCCTCATCAAGCATCTCCTACGTGAGGCCGTCCAGAGACAGCATGAGCGTGACATGGCACGTAGCTTAGGCATGCAAGGAGATGGTGTGCGCGTGTGTGTTGACTTGGTACGCTCGTGCGTGTGTAGGTCGAAGAAGTACAGTGCACGACAGAAGCACGCCATAGCTAGTTGTTTCACTAAGGCTGTGTTCACTAGTGATCGCTTGCAGTCCCATGGATATGAGTCTGATGGGAAGTGTCCGTTGTGTGGCGGGCCTGATGGCCTCCATCATAGGTTGTGGTGCTGTCAAGCCCCTGAGGTGATCGAAGCCAGGCAGAATGCGTGTAGTGCGGAGATAATCGCTGAGGCTGTCCAGGCGGGGCGCGAAGATCTTTTGTGGAACCGTCTGGTCTTTAAGCATCCGTCGTGCTACCTCCAGCCCCCGACTGACCAGCTGTATCCTGCCGTTTTTGGGCAGGACGGCCGCCCCCTTGAGGACCTCTCGGTGTTGGGAGATGTCGTCGACGTCGTCGTTGATGGGTCGTGCAGGCGAAGTCCCATCCGTGAGCTCTCGAGGGCGGCCTATGCTGGTGTGTACATGCGGTCGGGGTCCGAGGAAATAGTGGCTAGGTTTCAAGGGCCTGTATGGCCTTCCCTGCCTCAGACCCCACAGGCTGCAGAGCAGATGGCGATCATTGCACCAGCTTTCGTCATACGCCAGCCAGTCCAGGTTCACTCTGATTGCCTCGGCGTTGTTCGGATGCACAATCAGAGCCAATCTCAGGTTTTATCGAGTCGCTCGAAGTATGCCGGCCTCAGGCGCGGTTTCTTTGAGCTGGAGGGGGCTCCCTTCATCGGGCAAGCTTTTCACACGCCCGCTCATCGGAGCCTTGAGGACATCGAAGCTCTGCCGTCGACGGATAAACGAATCGGTCTCGCGAATCGAGCGGCGGACTTGTATGCTAAGAATGCTGTGCTACTCCATGCTCGGGATAGTCAGGGGGACCTCGATGAGCTTGATCGGATGATAGACAGGGCTCGAGCTGCGGCGAGAGTCGTGGGAGCGATCTTGCCCCTCTTCCCTGTCGCTCAGTTCCCTGATCGGCCCAAGGTTCCCCGACCCCGAGAGATAGGAGCCCACCGCTGGCACGCCTGGACGGCGGCCCCAGCCACCCAGGGTAGCTTCATTTGTCACGATTGCCAAGCCAGAGCAGTCAACACGTGTGCGGCCAGGCTGGAGATGAGGGGCTGCCCTGGGAAGCGTACTAATTTTCAGTTTTTGAGGGACCGTGAGAGGATGGGCCATTTTCTGGTGTTCGCTCGTCTTTCGAACGGCCCCTCCCTGGTCTTCTGTCGTCGGTGTGGGGCTTACAGTACTGAGCGCCTCAGTCGACGACTCGAGAACGAATGCCCAGGCCGTCTGTTCTCCTCTGCCACGCGTTGTCGTCTTGGCAGAATGTTGAGAGGACTCCACCCCCAGTCTGATCGTGCGCCAGGGGTGGTCCTCCATATCCTTTCAGATGTGGACCGCCTGCGGCTGCTGCAGACGCAGCAACCTCGGCGACGTGCAGTGCTCCTCCCCGCTCAGCAGAGCGAGCTCATCCCAGCGCTGGAGGCCATGCGGCGCCGCGTCGCGGCCAGGGAGCTGGGCGAGGATGGAGGAGGTTTTCAGAGCTCGGTTTTGTTGGGGCCTCCTGGTGGGCCGCGGGGCCCTCCTTCTGGACCCGCGGCCCAAGTGGCCCCCTCCTTGGGGCCTCGTGGTCAGGCCCAGGAGGCGCCGCCCCCAGGACCCGCCCTTGATGCTGAGGAAGAGGCTGCCTCCTTCCTCTTCCGTTAAACAAACGTTTGTTCTACCCCTCGGGGGAAAAACAAAAAAAAAAAAAAACTCCTCCTCCTCCTTCTCATCCTCCTCGTCCTCCTCCTTCCCCCCCCCCTGGGGGTTTGGAAGGCCGCCTGACTGCATTGGAGGAGGGGAAGGTAGGGGAGGGAAGAGGAGGGAGCAGGAAGGGAGGAGGAGGCGGGAAGGAAGAGGAGGAGGGAGGGAAGCGGAGGGAGAGGAGGGAGGGAGGGGAGAGGAGAGGAGGGAGGGGAGGGAAGAGGAGGAGAAGGAAGAGAGGGGAGAAAGAAAGGGGGCAGAAGACAGGAGCGACCAGTTGGGCCACTAACGCAACGGCCTCTCACCCCCCCTCCTCAAACGCGATGTTAGACCCTGGGGGAGGGGGACAAGGGGAGGGGGAGAGCCAAATGTGTCACACACACACATGTTCACCCCCGGCAAACGGGGGTCGGCGGATTGGGTTATGCCAGTGACGTGTGTAATTGACATATGTGGAAATCATGAACGTTATTGACTCTTGGTGTTGGGATCTGTGCGTGTTGTATATGTGATTGGTGTATGTGGCTGGCGTCCGTGATTGGGACCGGTGATGTGTGTGTGTTGATTCTGTACGTGTAGCCGTGATGTATGTGTATAATACATGGTCTTGGCGAATAGTCCTGACGCGTGCATTTGTTGTATGAAGTTGATGTCTGTGTTGATGCGTGCTCACCGTGCTTTCTCTATTTAGTATACGTTAGTGATGTATGTCCTAGATGTATGTGGACAGCGTAGAATGTTTCCGTCGCTTCTACGTTCGGGGCCCAGCGAGGCAGGACACTCAGGGACCATCGAGATGACCTGGCGGCCGCGTATGCAAGGCTGGCGGGTAATCCTGGAGACGCAGGGGCCCGCGGGACCACAGTCGGGGCGCTGGAGTAGGAACCCTTTTCGTTGGGGAGGGGCTCGGTGTTCCTTGATTGTTTCGCAGCTTGCCTTGGATTTTCCTTCGGTTTTCGATGGGGAATCGAAGGTTAACTTATGGAAAACAGGGGCCTCGTTCCTTATTTGGGGTTCCTTAGGTCAGCACCCCGACTGTACTGGG